TATTTTTATTGCCCTAACCTTGTATACTTTCCTTCAGATTTAATCGGTACACAGGTTGTTGGTATGTTTGATGTCAATCGAAAGAATACTACTGCCGTTGCATTGAAGGGGTGAGTACATGAGCACCTACGGATGTTTACCGCAACAACCATCTCCGGTGTATTGTACAGGTCATCGGGTGCACCGCAAGTATGTAGAGAGCACACGTGAAGTTCCTGCAGTCTTGCTCATGGTCGGATTGTCCGCCATGTCGTGCCGTATCGGTGATTGCACTGGCTCGTGTGCGTTCTTCCGAAGATATCAAACTAAGGGCTCACCCGCGCGGTACTCGCCCGCACCATGTAACTCTGAGACCGGACTCTCCTACAGTCCTGTCTTCACGGCCCTTGACGTTTTTCTCAGGGTCTTTCGGGACTCTTGTGTCGGGTTTCTCGACTCTCTCCGACATTTTCCCGTCTGGGCATGTACCGATGACAAGCTCGGTCGGTTTGACAAGGGTGTGCGTAAAGGTAGACTGAGTGGTATGCTTGTGAATACAAGACCGAACCGCTCCTCTGCGCGACAACCGATGGATATTTTGGAACTCAGCGATTTGCAACTGGTATAATGTACGGCAGGTGTGATTGCCGGGTGATGTTCTGGTGAGAATTAAAATTGATTTTCAGCATTGCACCATCGGCGGCGATCGTTCTCATTCCCGGTCTGTGCGAGGGAGATTCACTACAGTATGCGACAACAGCTAAGAACCTAGGCCCTACGAAATCCAGGCCCCGACAACTTGGTAATCAGACCGGGATCAAGAACAGACGCCCAGCTTGAATCCCCAACAAGTGTAAAACGTATACTGCCGCTGTTGGGTTGCCTCACAGAGAAAATACGCGAGCCCTGGGAGCAATGAGGTTTCGATCCTGAGTGTGGGGACGTGGTCTGTACTGCACTTGCCTACTGCGGTTGCCTAGGCAAGGCATTGGGTTGAAGTAAGTTCGTGCACGGCCTCTTGGCACGAGAAAAGCGACAGAGGTTGGTAGGGAACACCGCCTTCAAACACGAAGGCACACCCAAGAAATGACGACACGCAATGACATTTATGCAGCACAACCAGATTTTTGTTCGGCCGCGACCACCTGCCAGAACAGTGATAATACGAGGAGGAAACTTGTCCAACATTCCCGTGTTGTAGTATGGCGCTATTAATAGATTGTCCAGGAGATACTAAGCGCCAGGTGGTCGACAAGCTGCAATTCTCACGCTACACAACGGGCCCTACCTACATGGAAAGCGTTTCAACGATCGTGAAGAAGAGAGAATGGCAAAAACGACGATGGCAAGTTACACCATACGAACCTATCGGGTCGCAATATGCACAGGCCCGTATTTACCCAACTCTTGGAGAGGCCCTGTTCCAACTCGCCGGCAGCGGAAGAACCACCTCGTAGCCACCACCCTCTTGAAACACGAGGCGGAGCTTTTGAGCAATGGCCCTTGCTAGCGCCGGGCGGCGCCCGGCATCCAGAAGCCCAGCTTCGACGATCCCACCATCTACCGAAAGATTCCTGTACACGTCGTTCATGGAAACCTGAAGCCTCGTCCTGTACCCACTGCTTGGGTCGCAAACAACAAACCGCAACGATGCAGCGCGCGGAAGGGCGATAGCTCCTTCCCGCCCCGCCGGTTGCCACCCACTGTCCGTCAGCTCGTCGCCGCCGGCGTTACCTGGATTGCCGTGAAGTTCTTGCCTGTTGCAACCCCCCTCCTGGAAGCACTGCACGTGTAGTCGAACCCCGGTAATGTCATGCCACCCGGCGTAGAGCTTCGTTGTCCAATCCATACCAAACTCTCCATATCGTTGGGATATTCCACTTTCCTTCACAAGTAGGTCGGGCAACGTCGACCGTGGGCAGTCGGTAGAGGTGTAACAATCGTCTTGTTGCCCATTTGGGTCCACCACTGTAGCTGGGCTAGTCTGCCCGCGCGTAGAAGTGGACGGCCCTTGTCCAAGCTGCCTGTCGCATGTTCGGGTGGGCCCAGATACAGCCGGCATATCGTTGTTGTGAGTGTTGAGGGTTCCGCCTACTGCTATCATTTTTGTTTCGCTGCGTGCGTCCACATCGCTGGCCTCTTTGCTCGAAAGGTTCGGGGCGAGCGGTTGCGAACGTCGTTGGTCTTGATCCTCAACGTTGTTGTTGATGTCTGTCTTTCCAAGTATCTCTTCCGTCGACACCGCCAGCCGTATTCCCACTCGATTTCCCATCTCATCCCGCGTGCACCCACACCTCAGGCCTTGCGTGACAACCCGCCACATTCTGCCACCCTCAATCCCTTCGCATGTTCCGACCCAGGGTATGGTTGTGACGGTCTCCATAGTGGGACGAACAGTATCGTCCCGGGCACAGAACTTGAGATATCGCTCTATTCTCCCTGTAGACCCAGCTGTAAACGATTCGTACACGCTGACGGCCAACACCATAGGAAGTCCCTCATCGACCCCTTTTGCTGTGGTACCTCCCTCCTGTCTCTGTCCGGCGAACGAGGGATTTTCCCGTCCCAAATAAACGTCTTCTGATCGAGGTACTTCAAGCCTGCGACGGAAAATCATGCGTTCGTTTCTAGTTTCGACACGCAGAGTTGATATTTTCCCACGAGCGTTCCAGCGTCTACTTCCGTGCCTACCACCACTTCCAGGGTGACGTTCCTCGCCACTGTGGCATACTCGCCCTTGGAGAGAGAGATTTTCCTGCCCTCCAGCATTGTCGGTATCATCCGTTCCTCTCTCGTGGCGATTTTGTCGTCGGCTAGCCGACTCAGAGAGGCTTTCTCTGCGGGTGGCTGGGTGGTGACGTGCCCCGCGAAGGCTGACATATGACTTGGCCGTGACGGCCTTTGTCCCAGGAAAGCTGAGGGCCAAGGTGGGACGGAACCCGATTTTCGCGTTGCCGGGAGAGTAGTGCAGCCATTTTCCGGCCATGTTGCGCAGTCCATCGTTTGGTACTGACAGGTTCAGCTCTGACGAGAGCGCCGTGGGCGCTGTCAAGCACGCGGCAATGAAGGTGTCAAACTCTTTCACGAATGCTCTGACTGGAACTTGAAACTTGAAGATAGCCATCGTTTGACAGTGGATTGCCACAAAGTCGATCCAAGGTGTTCGGCTGTGTGCACGCATCTTCGGGTGGCCACCCGTCTCCGGTTGAGGTGCGAGTATGAGCATGTCAAAGTATGCCATTCGCTTTTCCAGTGAATCGTCGCCACCCCCATCTGCAGGCCAAACGTCCCAGCTCGCACCGATTCTGCGAAGTGAAAAAAGAGGCTTCCTCTCGTCGACAGTCAGATGAGGCAGCGGATCCTCCCGACTTGTGTAGTGAGAGCGGGATGTGTGCATTGTGTTGACAACCCTCCCGCTTCCATCTCCTGTCTTCTCCTTGGCTTCAGCGTTAAAACCTAGCCTTAACCTCCAGGTGAGCGCATAACTCCAATAGCGGGTAGACACATTCTTTGTTCGATCGCCATTTTCCAGCTCTGCACGCCAGTCCCCGAGTAGCATGCGGGTAAGCTCCGGAGTTAGAACGAAGATCTCTGCTGTACCGCCCGCACCAGGATCATACACCTCCCCTCGAAGCTCTCCGCATGCTCCTCTGTGGGCGAATTCCTTTACGACGACAAGTCGTTGGACGACATGCCCAGAGGATGTGGATGGGAGTACCAGCAATCGGTCTTCTTTCTGGCGCCCATCCATGTTCCCTACATCAGAGACATCCTTCCCTACGTTGTCACCATCCCCTTTCTCGACAGCTGGCACCCAGAAGGACACCAAGCGTGAAAAAATCACTTGCCCGACGCTCCTCTTCCTCAAAGTCAGTTTGAACTCTGCTCGTGATTGGCCCTTGTCGCGCCGTGCAGCGTTCTGAACATCAGTGACCATCCCTGACGAGTCCTCCGAATTACCGAGTCGATTCTCCCCGCGTATCGCGCCATCGAGCCAGCTGCGGCAGGAGCGCTGGTCTCGTTGCGACGATCCAACACGGGATAGCTTGAGACGGTCGGCGATCAGGCCGCTCAGCTCTCGTAGGTCAAACGCGTTCAGGATCGTCTGCATGCGCATGGGGTGGTTGTTGTCGAGGATCAAGGGGATGCACTGTTTTGGTACCCGCATTCCTGTCACTACCGGGCAGCCCGAGCTGCCGAGGGAGCTTAGAGCCGCCGGGACTACCGCCTCACACCAGAAATCGCTCCGGCTCTCTTCGAACACGGAGACTGGAACCACACGACCCATGAGCAAGCAGCTGGTGTCTAGCGTCAAGCGCCTCTCGTGTCGGAAGGACAGTTTCGCCACCCGGGTGCCGTCACCAGTATGACCAAATGTTTCATTATTCGGGAAATGTAGAACGAGAGTGTCCACCAGGGCACGCCACACTGCTTGCTCGGTCCTCAGTTCGCGTAGGGCGGAAAGGTCGTGTCTGGAGACGCAGTAACGGGGCGGGTGGGGGAGGGGCTTCCTTTCTTAAGAGCGGTAAGAAGACGGCGCGTTGTTGAGGTCAATACGTAGGGACGCCCAACTATGTTCGGTACCTGGTATATTCCGTGGTGGACATGGGGATCCTACGATACTCGATATAATTTTGCCTGACGTACGCTTCTGGGCCATGTTTGTACACACTGATTCCCTGGAATCGTGTCAACCCTCTGTTGTCGGCCAAAGGAAATATTATTTGGGCAATTTTTTCGGCCCTCATGCCATAGGTCATGTCGAGACTACTGGATTTAGGCGTGTACGCAACATGTTACACGACGCCGCTGGGGTTCAGCGAGGTCATATCCGTACAGTCTGTGGGCGTGCTGTTTCTCCACCGCAGGCGGAACCATGGCATACGCCTGCAACCGAACAAGTACGAACGTCCGCCTTCACTGAAACATTGTTACCACACGATGTTCAACAATGCTTGTTGTTTCACGCATGTGCAACACACATGCGAAACTGCACGCTATGAGTATCCTACGTTGCATACTCACTTTTCCATCCAATTCGGCGACAGAAGAGGGATCAAGTCTTCATCTTTCGTTCGAGCTGCCACCGCTTGGCCCTTCCGCATGCTCCCTGTACCTAGCGCCACGGCTCTGGCGTAAATCGAACCGAACGCCCTGCTCACCGTCACGCAAAACCGGTCATGATCACCAAGGCAAACCCCCATCTGCGTGCTGAGAGGTTCTCCCCTTGCCTGTGGCACTGACGGAGCGAAGGCCGCCTCTTGCTGTTGCGGGCGGTTGTGGTCTGAAGAAATTTTGTGGTCGACCACCTCGAACACCTTGCCCGGTGTTCAGTGATCCACGCGGCGACGGGAGGCGTGCGGTACCCCGATACCGAGGGAAAGCGTGACAAGACGATGAGGCGCGTGTCGTGTGATGGTTCTGCTTGATCTGGTTTACGGCCGGTGGGCTTTAAGCGCCAATACGGGCAGAAACGTCGAACATTTTGAGAGTCATGTATGCCAAATCTCACACAACCACTGTGCAGGAGGCGACAAGGCTCTTGCCGTTTACGGGTACATGTATGTTAAGGTATCCGGAACAGAGAAACTTGACATTGGACCCGCCACCGCCACATATTGAAACTTACCTTGAAAGGCCTTAAAACTGTGTCCAGTAGTTCATCGAACACTTCCGAAGCCCTGCATTGACGTCTATTCCTCACGTCCCCATGTCTTTCGGGGCCTTCCGGTGGTGGCAACCACGGTGAATCGTCGTCCAGAACGGCAACGTTCTCATCAATCAAGGACGTCTCCATTCCTAGCAGGAGCCTCTGTTCCCGCGTTCGTTCCTCGTGTACGTTTCTCATGCTTGTAGATAGCAGCGCATCGCCACCGCTACCTTCCGCTGTCGACCCTGCCCCGCCCGCCCCTCCACACCAACCCCGGCCTACAACACCCGTACCTGACGCCACGGCCTTCCACTCGTCACCTGAAGGATTTCGGGCTGAACCTGAACCTGCCCCCAGTGCTACCCCACCCCCTCCGAGAACAAGCTCGGTCGTGACGGCCACGGCTGCAACAACCCATCCGACGAACGCCCCAGAAGCGGAACACCCGGCGAAGTCGGAAAGAGGAGAGACCACGGGCCAGTCGGAGTGCTGTACAACGCGTTGGAGGGCAACGGCCGTTTCGAGTGGCATCGAGTCGAGTTGTACTCGTCGGATTAAGGCGGCCACGCCCCGAGCCGACCCCTGGTTGGCAAGCTCTTCGCGGCAGCTCCTCGCTAGGTCGGAGGCGTGAACCATGTCAAAGCCATGTTCAATCTCTTCGCTCGACGTGGGTGGCGCTTTTCTGGGAATTTTTTGCATCGTCACGCCTTCGGTCAAGTCCACCTCACGACCGCTTCCTGCCCTGAACTCCCCTAAGTCGTATCGTCGACCAGGGTGAAGGAGCATGTGACAAGCTGCCAGCAGCAAAGCCGTCCCTCGGGAGCCTGTCGCCGCCAACGAAGTGTTGCACTGTTTTCCCATCTGGAAACTGCCAGCGGTTGGCAGTTCGGGGTCCGTTGATCCCTCTGCTCTGATTGTTCCTTGGCGTTGTTGATGGGCTTCTCTCGGTGCCTCAGAACTTGTAGAAGCATAGCTGTCATCTTGTATCGCCTTGAACGGACTGGGAGTTCTCCCGTACTCGGTAGACAGATCGTGTAGACACTGGCCCGCCTCCTCCATAAGAGCTTTCAGCCTCCTGGCGGTCAAAGATGCAGGGGGGAGTGTTCCTTCCGGTCCCTGATCGTAAGAACAGTCCGCCTTCCAGTTTTTCGCGGTGCCTTCTCCTCGCAATGCTACTGTATCTACGAACTTCGTGCCGTGACTCACGTCTATGCCACCTCCAGCGCGATTTCGGCTGTGCCCTTCAACTAGCAGCACTGTCGGCGCAGAAGTCTGTTTCGTATCGGTGTCGCTGTGGTCGACGCCACACCCGCACGCGTCCAATCCCCCAAGGAGGGCCTCTAGGTCCCGAAGAAAACGCCCCCGCGCCCATAGCCCCGGACCGGGGACAACCTCGAGAGATACGTTCTTGCCGGCCGATAGCGCGGCTTGTACCAGGTTGGCTCGCGTCCTTGCGACAACATCCTGTTCGAAGTCGCCGCGTGCAGTTGCCACGCCCCCTAGACGTTCTCCATGGTTGGGCGAACCTCTCTGACCGGTGTTGCCGGTCACAACCGTCCCCCGTGTTGGTTGAGTAGAGGGAGGAGGTGTCACTGCTCCTGCCGTCTGTTCCTGACACGGCTCCAAGAAACAGCCTTGCCCCCCTGCCGCCTGCGCTGCGGACGCCAGAGAAGGGAGCGCGTCGACACCAACGACGTGCTGGCCGAATAGATCGGGAGCATCATGTTCGAGTCTGGCCCTTACCTCGTCTCGGACAGAGGCCGGCAGGTCGAGCCCCAAGAGCAACAGCACGGGTCGTCGTTTGGAGGATCCGCCGGAGGAACCCTGGCTTTCAACGCCGCCCCCCCCGCAAGTCCCAGAAACGTTTTCTAGCATCCCGGGAGGAAGAGTTGAGCCCATGGCGATCCTCCGCTCGTCGCGAGCGGCGTCCGCATCCTCTTGTTGTTCTAGGGCTTGGGTTTCTTTGGTGGTGTTGTCCCAGGGAGCTGAGCTGACCTTTGAGAGTGAGCAGAAGGAACACGAGAGTGAGGAACGCACGCGTCAAGGGTGACCCGTCGCACGGCACCACAACAATAAAAAACAAGGCACGGTTTACCTCCATCTTTCTGCGGAAACACACCGCTACTCGTGTATTACACAAGTGTTGCCTTTTCAGCCTTGCCCCGGTTTAAACATATGCGAACCACCTCTCAAATCCAAGCGAATGCCCATGGCGGCACCAAATCTTTTCCAACGTCATATTTATCACACCACTGACACATTCCATCGATTCGAGAAACTAGAGTGTAGGGAATCAAAGGGGTAAGAGTGCATCAGCGGGTTACTCTGGCCAAGTCAAACCGGAGCACGGATATCCCAAGACGAACGCTGTGGCAATACGGTGGTTGGTGCTGCCCTTGCTTCACATCAACTTTTCATATACGCTGGTACCTGTTGAGCCGCAATCTCCGCATTGACTCTCGAGATCTCTTGTTCGAACCGGCCCACGTCTTCCTCTAGTCTCGCCTCACCCGACTCAATGTCCGCGCCACATGCTGTCAACCCCTCGACAGTGCTCCTCCAGATTTCCATGTCCTTGCCGGTGAAGCCCTTGACGAACCGACGCCCTCCCGCGTCTTCGACAAGCCTGTATAATGGTGGCACCCGGCGTTCAAATGCTTATGGCGCATTCAGCAACTACGTGCCGGTGAAAGGTAGGCCATGTAGTCATGGAGTTGATTCTTGCTGCTGCTTACTCTTGAACTAAGTGTACGTTAAGTCCTGCAGTGGCGACCATACCTCTCCAGCACAGCTACGTATCGAACCACGACTCCGTCAGGGGTTCAGGCTAGCGTTCCCAGGCTGGTTGCCCCTTGAAGGAGATAACTTTCGTCTGTTCGCGGGCGATGGCGAAAAACACGAGGTCGCCACCACACCGACGCGCCCCACCTTGTTTTCTGCACCACTGTGATCTGCTTCCACGCGCGAACTTCCCCCAAAGCTCGGGACATGTTTCTCTGACTCTCCGTCGGAGGAATCCACTCCTGCAGAAGGGGTCGATTCCCCTGCCGACAGCGCCGCTCCCACACGCGCAACCGCCTCTGCAACTCCCTACAAATACAATAATTCACAAAAAAGCAACCCAGCGCGTGGTTGCGAGCGTTGCGGGGAAGGATGTGTGCGAACTTTGACACGATCGAGTGCTGGTTGTTTGCGAGCAATCAGCGCGAGTGAGTTAGCATGAGCCATGCCGAAATCCGGCTTGGAGATAAAAGTCCTGTGCGGTCATCAACCGCAGTTTTAACGACATCTTTGAGGTAGCCAAGCACGCTGACATTGGTCGTGATTGTAACGCATTGTGGTCTACTTGAAAGATGTCCAACGGTCCACGTTGCCGTTATTGGACATCATGTGACGATACCGGCGTTTATTTTGTGTCGACTGTGACCGACGCCTGCATAGTTGTAGCCTTAGACAAGGCTCAACAACGATCGACACAGCAGCAGTGACCACGCAAACAAAGCGAATGTAGCTCCCTAGCGACCCTACTCCGTTCCGTTTATGACACACCCAACAGCGAAGTTCTCCCTCTAAGGGGCAGTTCCCGTACGCTGAAAGATAAACTTCACTCATATTCGAGAAAGATCGATTCCCACACCTTTTTTTCCCCGTCTAAGGACTACCCTGGTATCACGTGTTTCCCCCAGATTTCTCTTCCCCTTACTTTTCTGGTTCACTGCCACCCGTCTACACTCGTGCAGTCACGTGCACACCCGAATAGAGCTAGCTGATCGGTCGTACGTACCGAAGACGAAGAAAAAGAGCATTAGTGTAGGAATGGAGGCAATGACGGCAAAATACACAAAAATGTTCCTGCTGGGCTTTGGTCACAGTAAGGAGTAGCACAACGTGACACACCTGAGGATAACTCCACAGTCGAGCGTCTTCCCGGCCAAAGCAGCTAACTCCTCGGACCCGCTCTGCCCGAGGCGACGAGCCATCTCCTCCGCCCGTGCAGCCACAGAGGCTTCCCGCTCTGCGAACTCCACGTCGTCCTTGAGAGCTCTCCCGGCAGCTTCCTGTAGGTTCAGTGCCGAGCCGTTCCGTATTTGAAGCGAGGGTAGCGACGGTGTAGCCGCCGACATGGTCGTCCGTGCACGTACCCAAACGTTCCCGGACTGTTGCTGAGTGACCTCAGACAACGGCACGTTCATCTACCGACACGGCCACCTATACTATTTTTGTCACAAAACTGATAAGTATTTGTCGCAACCACAGAGCGGTGATTGGTCGCAGCCCCGCACCGTGTACGAATGTATATATCCGAGGACCTGGGTTCTTACGAGACATCTCCACCCCCCAAACAAACTCAGATGCCCCAGCAAATGAGCAGATGGTTCTGCTTTCTACGTTAAAATCTTCAGAACATTCTCATCGCTGCGAACTTACCTCGGCTTTAGCTTGCTTGGCTAAAAACGCTATCCTCTTGCGTTCCAGATCTTGAACCGCCTCTTCCGCAGCCTGACGCTGCTGTTCCAGCACTTCCAACGCCGCCACCGGGTCACCAAAAGCACGTCCCCGGTTTTCTAGGTGTTCGCGGTACTGCGTCGCAACCGCCACCGCTTTCCGACACGACTCGGCGTGGAGTTCCAACGCTCGGCGGCGTCTCTGGAACGACCTCGCTTTCCGGAGCCACGCAGGCTGCGCGTCTCTGAGTGGTGGGGCGGGTTCGGTTTCACAGAGGCCGTGATTCTTTTGGAAGTTTCAACATGAATCAGACTTGGGCGGCCCTTGAGGGCTTGCCGTGTTGCCGCACCAGTTGGACCATAACACCGACCCTCATTCGTCTAAAACCTATTTTTGTAGACAGCGTCGACGGCACAAGTGCGCGACAAGCTTGACCAGCGCTCAGAAAATCTGTTGTCTTACTGCGCTATCCATACGTACAGGCAATTGACATGTGGGGGACGTAAACTGCTTGTGCTTCGTCAACAATGTAATTGCTCCGAACTAGCCCGTTGCTCTTCTTGAGTGCTTCCACGTGGCGTCCTACCGCTCCCCTTGCCAGAGTCAGGCACGTTGTCAGATGTATGGAATATATCCTACACGTCAAAACCGCGGCGAACCCCGCTACAAATCCCCCTCCACCAAAGATGGTAGCCTGGGCGCGCACCCCACACCTGATGGTATGTGAACGGAACAGTCTCATTAACTCCGACTACCCTATCCGTCCCACCATGATTACCCATGCGTGTGCCACGCGGACGCACCTCAGAAAATTTTCAACGCGAGGCTGCTCCGCGAACACTCGCTCGAGCTCCACCGCCCACCCCACCAGCGCCCTAGCTGCCGTGCCGCCGAGCGTTATCGCCGACAGCGACTCGGTGGACCACGAAGGGTCCGACCGGTATGCAGCGAGAAGTCTACAGGCCTCGGAGGAGAGGTGAAGCAGGCGGGCCGCGCTTGAGTCGGAAAAGGCCCCCAGGCCGGACGCGAAGGCTCTCATTCGCCGCAAAAGCCTGATAACGTTACGGTTTCGGAAGAGGGAGGCGTTTTGTACTTCAATGTGTATCGTGCAGTCTAGAAACGAGATCGCGGTTCTCCTTCGGTACCAGCATGGTTGCTGTTCCTTGGGAATCACTTCTGTGTAGAGTCTTGGCGCCGTTTGTCGCCGTGCAATATACATCTTCTTCTTGTCGTATACCTGCATGCTCGTTTTCACATGGTCTCCATCTATCTCCTTGGTGGGCGGACGGGAGAGAGATTGTTTCGAAGGTTAGGGTCACTGTATCGAGAAGGGGGAGGAAAAGTACCGCCGTTCTGCCGGTAGCACAGAGGAAGATGTACATTGGAAATTCTATAGGTTGTTGCTTGGGGTGAGGATCGTTACAGTTGTGTTGACAGAGGATACACATACACGGTCTGGTGTCAAGCCAATTGATTCTAATAATAGCTTTACCGGAATGGTCTTTCGAGCACTCTCGCAGCCATTTCCCAAGTCAGATCCGCCGAGGACACTGGGGTCCGCACAGTGCGCCCAAGGGCTGTTTGAAACGTCACCATGTCCACGCCGCCTTTCCCGACGCCACTGCTTCTTCTGCCGGTCCCGCCACCGCTGCCGCTTCCGCTTCTCCCGCCGCTGCTGCAGTTGCTGCGGTCACTGCTGCCACCGCCGCCTCTACTGTTGGTGCATTCTTGTTTGGCATCGTCTAAGATTGTCAACGTCGTACGAAGGGCCCCGAGCACGCCTGCTGGGGGAAATTGACGCTGCTCGTGGTGTCGTGCAGTAACGCGGTGCAAGTCGACAGGAAAAAGTGAACAGTTGGGATGACATCGCACGTGGGTGCGGGGCCGATGCAACGAAATAGTTGTAACAAGGGGATGGCCTCAGCACTATTGCTCATCTTGTGGTAGTAACCCTCTGGGCTATTGGCAGAATTGTTTTGGTTTTGTCGATTGCATTACGCCCACTCGTGCGCTTTTCCCGAGCCGACATTGTGAAAGTTGAAAGCGTACCCTGTCCTTGGATACCAGTTTTTTCCGTCGCTGGTATGAGGAGGGAGGGGCGAATCCTGGGGTTCTAGTTAATCCAACTCCTGGTGTGCAACATGCCAACTGGTCAAGAGTTCGGTGGGGTATGCGTGTGGATGGGTGAAACCAACCTCACTAGGCTTTTTTAGAAGGACGTTACGTGCAACTGGTGTGGGCTTCGAGTACAACCCTGCCGAATACCTCATGCTCAGATTAGTGAACCTGCTTACCACTGGGTCTATGAGAGCACCGTGAATCGCGTGCGCCAGCTCCTTGAGATGCTCTGGCTGTAAGTTCTCGAGAGAGATCCAATCAAGCGCCCTGGTAGCTGCCGCTATCATGGATCGGCGTGCCGCCGCCCTTCGCCGCCCGAGCATTCCGCGACCGATTCTCTGGAGCTGAGACGGATAAAAGGAAAAAGGCAGCCGTTGGACATCGTGCATGGGATTAGGAACGATAAAAAACCACGGAGCCCTACAGAAAATGACGAGCGGTATTCGTTTCCACTAAATACGAACAAGAGGTGAGGGAGTCGAAAAAGCCTTCCCGGTAATAGTCGAACCGCCAAACGTAGGGGGGAGTCACTCACTGGCAGCAGAAGAGATAATGTAATAGCGTCGTTGTACTGAAAACGTCCAGCTATATAATTGGCAGAATCAAGCCTGCATCATTTTCTCCCTCCATGAGTTGAGTAGCTTGGAGAGACACACATCGACGAGGAGGTTCAACCGCGGCACTACAACTTTCGTGGTGACCCATGCAGGCACGGTCCTCCCTCGTCTCCTTTCACTCACCTTGCCGGTTGCGAACAACTCCTTCTTCTCTCGCAGCAATCGCTTGTAGGCTTGTCGCTTGACGAACATCCGGATGGTCGCCTGCATCGGCGTCGCCGAGGCGTGTAGCAGGAGGCGGCGCCTTGTAGCTCTTCTATCCCAAATGAACCGGACTCCACGTTGGATTGTCATTACTGCCTGTCAATATTGTTGACATTCACGTTTAGAAAGTGCTGCGACTGACATTGACAATGTTAATGTCATGCGAAGTTCAATCTGGCCATTTGACGCCGGAAACGGCTACTTGGGTTTTCGTTCAGCTGTAGCTCTTTGGAAGACATATTCGATGCTCGAGGGCATGTTTTGACCACATGTGTCTCCCGTGCGTTTGAACGACCCAGAGGTTGGGGTGTACATGTACACCCCAATAATGATACTTGGGAATGTCCGCGATGGCCAAACGGAGCTGCGTGTAGGTACGAGGTGCTGTGAGTCGCGCTTGCTGATTCCCCCCCAGTGAATGATGTAGTGTAAATTGCATGTAGATCTCTGAACACGTGTTGTTCGGCGTGTACAACAGCAGCACAGACCAGGTTGAGAAATACCAACCCCAAGTGTCGTTGACATGGTCGAATAGATACTACCGTCAGGCACGGAGGCTTGCCTGGTGAATGTGCGCCTTATACCACGACGCGTATTTGCGACCAGTATTTCCCCGGATGCGCTTCTGCACCAGGAGGCAAAAACTCTCCTCGAGCGATTCCGCCACCTTTTCGTCTTCTGGTAGCCTCTGTTTAGTTTCATCGCGTGCGACAGCGATCCACCAGGAAAATAAAAGTTCATGAAGTAGACACAGCGCGTCTATTCCAAGCAGCAGGAAATAAGTTTCGAACCGGCCCGGTGTACTTTTCCTAATCCAGGCAGTTGAGTAGTACAGGTTAGCCCGCTGTATGAGCGACTAGAACGGAGCAACTAGTCTATATCGTCGGCTTGTAGCAGCAAACATCGTAAGGGCTCCACTACAGGTTAGCCCACTGTATAGACTAGAAACCGAAAAACATGTCTACATCATCGGCTTGTAGCAGCAAATATCGCAAGGGCTCCACCATGAAACGCCAGTGAAACACCGGGGAGTCCTATACGATGGGGCTGGGGTGTTTCGTTGGCACTGACCTGCCCATCTGCAAGGCGAGCGCGCCTCCGTTCCATCTCTAGAGCAAGCTTCCTCTCTCGCTCCTGCTTTTGCACTACCCGAAGGCAGCCCAGCTCGTGTCGCTTTACGCCGAGATCGAACGTCTTCAACTCGATCTCCCGACGTTTTGCCTCCAGCAGAGTCTGCATGTTCTTCTGGCGGTGCTCTGGTAGTTCGCCGTCCATAGCATCCAAACCCGTCCGCTGAGGAGCTCCACTGCCATCGTCCCTCACAGATACCATTCTCGCAAGGGCATCATCGTCATTCTCCATGCATCCCGCACCTACTCGTGGCCCGCAGTGGAGTAACTGGCTGTCGCCGTCTGGTTTGCTGCCGTCGCTGCATCGAGAAGCTTGATATTTCCTGAGACGATTTTCTTCCCCCACAAGCCGCCGGAGTTCCGCCGCGTGCCGGGCGACGTCCCTTGCCAGGCGGCGCAGACGTATCTCACGAGGCGGAGGCTGCCGCCGCCCAGTCGTCCCCGCGGCCGTCAACGCTCTCAGTTCCGCGCCGGCTTTTCGCGACAACCCTAACGCCCGGTTGGAATACTCCGAGGCTGACGGTTTCATCATTTCCAGCGTTACAGCTCCTTCCGCGAAAGGTCCACGAGATGTGGGAGTATCCTGCTGAATTTCGCAAGAGTTCAGAGGTCCTTGCTCCGGGAGCGAACGTCTCGGAAGTGAACATGAAGTGGATATACTTTCCGGGGCAGTGACAGCGCGGTGATGGTTCACCGAGGATCGACGGCCAACGCTTCGCCTTTGTCGCCCACCCGCTACACCTCTGGTCGAAGACGACGCCACCACAGAGTTCGGCTTCGAAGGTGCTGTGGAACATCGGTCCTCGGTTTCCGGACCCGAGATAATAGGGACAACTATTGAGATTTCTTGCTCGAGGCCGTCTGTCGTTGCAGTACGAGCATCCGACACGGTGTGGATGAACGGGTCAGGGTGTAGTTGTCCACCCGGCAGACCTGACTTCAATACCACCGGTCCCAGTCCTGGGTGCGGGTCAGGCAGCGGTTGGTTCATGAGCCCGGCCGCCGTCAACACTAAAGAGCGCATGTCGCCTGTTTCCGGTAAAGCAGACGCAACCTGAGGGTTGGGGCGCAAAGTCCCGACAGTTGAGCCTGTTCGGCGAGTGACTTGTGCTTCAAAGGTGGATGGTCGCTTGCTTGTTGCACCAGCTGTCGAGGTTACAGACGCACTGAAGTTCTGCCAACCGGCACTCGACGACGCGTTCGAAACTCTCGACCAAGCCCTGGATTTCCGCCGGCGACCAACACATGGCGCTGCTTCTGCCTCCGATACCTTGGCAGCCTCTAGCAGTTGCTTCTGTTCATCCATCAAAGCTTTTCTCGCCACACCGATCCTGCACGCGTCATCCCTCGAAACGAGGTTAGGGACCAATGCCTCAACGTCCCTGGTAGCCGTTCTAGGTGACAACTCGAGGGCGCTTGTTCTCGGACAAAACCCTTGGATGCTGTTTTGGTCGCCCCGTCGCGTCGGACATGGGGCCTTCACCACGGCCAGCAGTGTCGGGTCGTTCACGACAGCAGCAGCGTAGGGTGCCAGACTGTTCGTTGCATCCGTTTTTCGTAGTCTCCGCTGTTTGCGGCGGCGGCTGCTATTTGCTTCTCTTGCGAAATCGCCACCGCCCTCATCGGCGCTCGTCAATACTAACGGCCCGAGCCACGGCTGCCTCCCAACATCTGCTAGGCCGAATTTATCGAAGCCTAACCCTGCGCCAGCCGTTTGGCTAGTTCTTCGACTGGCGGAGCGTTCCTCTGCTTCGTTGCCAGTGTGCACCTCATCTTGCGGAACGAAGAAGGGGTTGCCTGATATTGGGAAACCGAGCCATTTGCGGAGAGCCTCAACGCGGTCTAGGAAGTCGCAGTCTTGTAGCATTTTCATGAGATAGTTGCGGCCGTTCCACTCAAACGGTGCTGGTGTAGGAGTTACCTGTGGTTGGAGGTAGGGCCAACAAGTCCGTTGAGGATCAGTCAACACGAAAAACTCGTGTGTGGATACCCACGGGTTAGAACTTTCACCCTTCGCCCCGTGGTATCTGCCCGAAAATCTGCCTATGATGAGATAGATTTGTGCTGTGCAACCGGTCCAAATCATATATTCACCTGAGACAGTCTCCATAGGGAGATTGCTTCGACGGTTTCCAGGGTGGCAATCCGAAGCAAGTCCAGGAGATCAACCATACCGGGGGGGAGAGCTTCAGGCGGACCGCAGCTTCGTTTCGACCTTCGTTGCATGCCCTCCGCTAAGCTTGTGACGCGTGCGAGGTACCCTTCACGCAGCATGATGCACTTCAGAACCTACGTCCATCGATGTCCATCGCCAAACAGTATCGAAACGGTCACACTGTGAAAAGGGTGATGTCATTGACGGCCTTTGGGAAACTTCGCAAATCTCGACTCATCGAAACACCCGAGCTATCGCTGACGCTCGGGCTTAGACCGCTTTGACTAGACACTGTACGTTTGGGATGTGCACAGGAAAACCTTACGTACATGCATGTCATCGGTTGGTCTTGCATCCCTACTGCCTACAATAATATCAGCTATGTTCATGTCTCTCCATTCCCGAATACAATGTTCGTCAATGGGCGTGGCCTAGTGGTGCACACTCCCTTCTGTGCGTCGTATAACGGTCATAGGTACACCTCAGGTCGCTTAACGGGTGGCAAAGTAGTGATTTGTCGCTTCGCTGAGTTTCGGTCATTCGCAATGGTGCACAGTCCCACGCCGTGAGTTAACACCTGAGCTGTTCTCGGTGTACCGGTATATCGAAGTCGTACTATTGCCATGATGCATCGATGCATCAGCGCAGACATCTATCGTTATCTATTATACTATACGTATCGGCATCCGCAAGCAAATACAGTCCCAACGGCGCCTCTCTCCGACGAATTCCAGGAGGATGGTTCGCTCCATCGCGTCCCTCCCTATTCATGCACACAAGAAGAATACGTTGCTCCTTGCGCCAAAGCGCTGAACCCCGAGACAGGAGTTGGACTACTATTGTCGTCCATTCTCCACTGCTGCCCTCCTAACTGGTGAAGAAATGTGTCGGGTCGAGCTACCCTATACCCCATGGTCGTCTGCAGGCGGTTGCCCTCCGAAGTGGTGAAGAATGTGTCGCGTTGAGCTAGCCTGTACCCCATGGTCGTCTGCAGGGGGTTAAGGGTACCCGGACAACCTCCTGCTATGTTGCCTAATTTCGAAAACAAACGCAAGAGCGCCAGAAAATGCACTAGAGACACATAAGACCAGTCGGAAGGCATCGCAAAAAAAACTAGTCCAAAATTCTGGCACAGGGCAGCAGTAGGGACCGCTCAAAACGTGCTTTTCGCGCGTCTACCTCCACACGCATCCTTTGAAACCAAGATAAAAATCCACACCAGTCTAAATTCAAGTCAAAAGAGCCCAAACGGAAGGCGCTCAAATAAGGCCGGTGTTGCTAGGAACCTGGTCCATTGTACCAATATCACTAGAGGACACCCTATAGCAGCGGGGGGGGGTGTTGGCGCGCTCAAAACTTCTTCTGTGGTGGTGGTATCGAGTGTCGTTGTAGTGGCCCACAATCTCCGCAAATCTCCGCAAGTTAGATCGACACCCAGTGTCTTGTACTGCTTGTGCTCGCCGCCACTGAACCCAATCTTCTGAACTGCAGGTTTACAGCAGTAGCTGATGCCACCAGCTACTGCTGACAACCCGCAGTTGAGGGGTTTGCGGTCCGTGGTGGTGAGCACCGCTGTGACAAGTGTTGGGTTCCGCTTGGTTCCGGCGCAGATTTCGGACCGTTTTCAGAGGCTGCTGCGACCTTCGATATTTCAGCCCCAGTAGTATACCTGAACGTGCCAGCACGCACGACGCCTCTTGATGATATCCTCTACTGATACTAGCACAACGGACCAGGTTCCTCCGGCGGGAAGGTTGTTTTCTTTCTTTGTACTGTTATAAAGTATGAGAAAAGAGCCAGCGTCAAAATCCCTTGTCTGGGTACCCTTAAACTGAAGGAGGTTAAGCCTATGTGTAGTTCCAGACAGAACACTGTACGATTTCAAACCGAAGCCTGCTCAGACCGAAGTCTGTGAAGGCCATGATCGAAGTCGATGTTGTTGCAATATGCCGCTTTTGTAACTGTACGTTTATCGTCAGCCATTCACTCTTCACAGCTTACTTGCAGAGTTGAGATGTTGAGGGATAGTTGGGAGTGGGTCTGGTGGGGCTCACAACACCTCGTGATCTCGCTACAACGACAATCTCCTACGCAACAATCGATTCGTTCATGACCTCCTCGCTGTGACTCGTCGCTACATGTTTCTTGTGGCATCTACGGATATTGCCGACAACAAACTACCTGTATCTATGCCGCACACACATCCTACAGCAGTAATGCGCTGTATTTCAACAACAGAGAGCATATTATTATCGTATTTATCCAATAATACGTCTGGTGAGTCGGTTGGCATTTGGTACGGTTGGTGGTACTTCTTTGGATCAAACAACGATTTTGGACCGGATCCTGTCGTCTAATCTCATGTGCCCACCTGTCCGGGGAAGCCCACCAACTACACTACTGCTGTAGGAAGTGCTCCATTGGTCCACGGGCCATCGCGGTCAATTCAGATTTGAAACATGCAGTGTAAATTTGGTGCAATTTGTGCAGGTCATTTATTTTGTGTGGGGTATTCTTGTGCAGATGCACAATGATCCTAATCGTGGGACGCATTGATCTCGCGCTTGGAGGACTGCGTTCCCTTCAATCCCCGGTTCTCCCTAAAAATCATTCTATCAACACGCGCTCCATTTCGTGTCAGTTGTTTATCAACAACATTTTTCTTTGCATCCACTTCTTCGCGCCTCTGCACATTGTCGACGAACAACGTTCACGTGCGCATACCCCTCTGGTCCAAAATATAGGTACCGGATGGAAATTCCGAAATATAGGTACCGTTTGGGAAACAGCAGTGTCAGGGACGCCACAGCAGTTCCCGGAGCATGAACATGCACACACATACCCCTGAGGCGATAAAAAATATATATGTTCGGGGTGACCAGGGGACGCCAGGATAGCATCCCCGGTTTTCACTCGGAAGTTAGAAAAATCGGGTTGATCGGCAAGTTCCACCGCAACGCCCACTCCAACCTCTCTTTCTTGGCTCGGTTAGTCAGCAGAGGCTTGAGCTGGCGCGAGACAGCGCGTAGGCCTAGCTTCTCGAGGTTTCTCACTAGAGTGGTCTTTGGGATGCCCAGAGCAGCAGCAAGTCCACGCAGCGTGGTCCGGTTCTTNTAGAAAAATCGGGTTGATCGGCAAGTTCCACCGCAACGCCCACTCCAACCTCTCTTTCTTGGCTCGGTTAGTCAGCAGAGGCTTGAGCTGGCGCGAGACAGCGCGTAGGCCTAGCTTCTCGAGGTTTCTCACTAGAGTGGTCTTTGGGATGCCCAGAGCAGCAGCAAGTCCACGCAGCGTGGTCCGGTTCTTGATTGGAATGTCCTTGAGAGTCTGCCGCAGAGCGTCGATGTTGTGGCCCTTCCGACCGGAGTTCCCGCCACGCTTGTTGTGAAGGTCAGGAGACAAGACGCCGGCAGCCTTCTGATGCTGGTAACAAGTCCACAGCCTTGCAATTACGCGTCGGTTGGTCTGGAACAAAATGGCAACTCTGGTGAAGTCGCCCTTGCGCAGAATGCCGTTGTTGCTGCCCTTCAGAAGCTCCGCAATGACAGCGGACCGCTCTGCAACGTTCAGATTCTTTCTCTTTCGTGTCTCGGCAGCACTTTCGTCGCTTGACATTCACATTCACACTTCGGGAAGGTCTGCGTTCGCCACTTTAAAGTTTTCGAGGCCAAAGTGCCGTTGCCGAGAGGGTGCTGTACAGCACGGGACTGTTGGTTTTTTTTTCCCGCATTCGACTGCTCGTGATTGCGGCGAAACCAACAAAAAAAGTCGGTTCAAAAAAATCGAACCCTAGCCGAAGTTATGCCGCCGAACGTCCATCCGGTACCTATTAGGAGAAACAAATATACACAGGATGTGTTGAAGTCTTTACAGTGAGTAGAGGAAAACCAGCTGGGTACTTGACTTATTTCGAGTTTGTTTAAGCCTATACACTGATGATTTATATCAGTGATACCAGTTGGTGCTTAGCACAAAAACATCTGCGTAATTTCGGACCAGGGTGGTACATGCATTCAATAAAGGTTGTGACCGACTGGTTACTCAGCTCACAGAGACAGCAACTAGCTACACACCTTGCATCAATGCCACACCGTACAACAATGACGCTGCCGTGTTTAACTTGTTTCTGTCTGGGTTTCTCATATCCCTGGTGTGGTTGCACTTTTACCTCAAGCTCAGATGACGGATCGAGTAGGCGTCCTCCCTGGCTGCTGCTGTGGCGTGGACTACATGTACCCCGGTCTCTGCCGTTGGTTGCAACCATGGTGCCGCCGCTCCCCCTCCACCCCTCCATGAGCCCCGCACGGTGCACACCAACAGAAGAAAATCTAACCAACTGTCTGTTTCCTTTGACTAAGTCTGGTGTTCCTTGGCGTTCGTGGGGGTTCCACTGCTTGTGCCGCACAACTAAGCGCTCGTTCTCCAAGTCTCTGGTGTGCTGTGCCTGGCGGCGATTATCGACTATGCGGGGGAACCTCGGCTTGTCGAAAAGGAACAACGAAACCGCGAAAAAAATAATAATAAAAATTTCTATTGAAATGTATTTGTTGTGTGACATTAAGAAAACAATACCTGGCCGCCGTTTGTTGAGCGTTGAGCGGAGCCGCGGGAGAGAGGGGGGTGAGGGAGAGGGGAAGAGCGAGAGAGGAGGGAGGAACCGAGCCGGGGCGAAGGACTGGTAAACAAGGGGACAGAAAGCAGTGTAAAAAAGCCTTCAGGATGGGCGATGTTCGTAGCATGCAGCGAAAGAGCCAAGAGGCATACGCTGACGACCAGGTATAGACCTTTGCTCCATCGGCCGTTTTGTTTGTATGACGGAGAATAAGAAGGTGAAAAATACTTGAAATTAGTATTGAAATAAAGTTTGTGTATCTAAATCGACAATAAAACGGCCGATGGAGCAAAGACCTAACCAGGTACCATGCAACAGGATGCGGCCATCTTGCAAGATTTGGTCCCAGCAGCATGCGTTGACTGTATCACGGCGAGCAAGCTCTCCTCGTGCCATTACTCCAGGAGATCATTACCCGCCGCTGTAATATGTAGTGTCTACCTCCTCTGGTCGCTGAACAGTGCGTCTCATATTTTTCGCCTTGCTTCTGCGTGTGATCTTACAGCTACCGTACATTCAACACAGGGTGCGGCATTTTTTTCGGACTGTGCTAAAGAAAAAAACAGCGGCGCGTCAAAGCTGTGCGGCATAGCGAGCCATGGGTCGGTCATTGAATCGTGTTGGCATTTCTGATCCCCACAAGAGCATCCCCTGAGAGTTGCTTATACGTCGCGTGGAATGCTTTTCTTGGGTATAACGTTCCCTGCCTATCAAACAAGCTCATTTCTAGAGGCGCTTCTCCACTCGGTAGAAAAGTGTACCAGGTATGGCGGAAGGCCTTTGCTGGAGAAACCATGACACCTAACCATTTCTTCTGAGAGGTCCAATGGGGCCTCAACCACCAACTTCCAAACAAGGCTTTTAGGCAGCCCTATTCTGCTTTGTCTAGGACGTAGATCGGCCAACAGTATTGTCTCTTCCGAACCTGACTATGTACACCTTTTCACGTCCCACAATGGCGTACATGGAGTGACGTGAAAACAAACTTGAATCGCCACCTTAGGAGACTGGTTCGCACACGAATGGTACATCACTGGAGATTTTCGGAAAGCCAGCCAAATTTCAAAATCTTCAAGCTTCAACCGAGAGGAGACCTTCGGGCATGATGCCTGCTCTTGCGGCGGATGACTGCCCGCTTCTGAGGAAAATTCCGTTCAAATCCGTCGCTGGCCTTCACGGTGTTTCCCGTTTCGTTGCGACGTAGGCGTTCGCGTACGCTCGTAACATGGCCGGAGACGTGACGGAGTTGTTTGATGTTCTTGCCGGAAAGCTCCGGCCGGGCCACAAGAATTCGGGAGGAGGTGAAGGTCAAGTGGGTTCGTCCTTGAGCCGCACGTCCATTCTCAACGCACAGTACCGCGGCTCCTCCGACAACACCGTGCTTGGGATGGCGAACCTCAAGCGCATCCAGAACTTCCTGGATGAGCCACAAAAGCATCTTGGCCAGGTGATGAGCGATAAACGACAGGATTTGGAAGAAAAATGTAGATGCGTCCATATTGTAGAATCAGACTTATGGATGTGTCTCTGTCGATGGACAACGAGTCTCACCACAACGGCAATGCCGAGCAGACAATATTTCAGATAGCCTTAGGAAAGGTCCGCCTGTACGTTCATTTTCTCGTCGATGTCACGGGGTAACAAGGCTGATAATTTCGACCTGCAGAGAACCCAGGGAACAGGACCCTAGCCTACGTCAAGGTGGGCGCCATGTCTGGCCAGCAATGCGCCCAACTACCCTGACATTTATCACCTTCGCAAGACGGAGATCCTACTCCTCCATGCGGATAACTTCCATGGTCATTCTTCCGGCTTGTGGCATGACGGTACAGGTTATCGCGGACATCGAGAAGGAGGCCGGGAGTTTCTACGGCCAGGTGTCCTCCCGCCGGCAGGGATCCGGGGCAGGGAAACAAAGGATGCAGAGAGGAGCGCCCCAGTCCCCCGGAGCGACGCCGGCCCAGGCAATCTCTCTCGAGGTGTGCCAGTGATGTGCACTCATGATTGTATTGTTGGGCGCGTGCGTCTGTGGGGGCTTTTCCGTAGGATGATGGGGTCTGCTCGTATCACGGGGGTCTATATTGCGGGTACGGGATGACAAACTCGAAGGCCGAAAGGTACCACGACCCGAGCATTCAAGTGGCTATCGACTGGCCATATCAAACTGATTAGACTCACGTGCTCAATAGCGATCGAACGTGTTGATTGTGTGCCTTGGGGCTCTGCAAGGTAGACCCAAAGTATGTTTTTGACGCCTCGATGAAGCTCTCCGAGAATGTGCTCAGCTTTGCACGGGAGCGAGACTACTCTCCGCCTCCTGGTGGCGACGAATTATTTGTTCTCCCACACCGCGTTGGTTGCTTCTCTCACCTCCCTCTTGTCGACATGTCTGACAAGGTAGATCCGTCACCCTTGAGGGTGATGAAGGCTTGCTTCAACCCTGGGCTCGAAGCGTGGGACAGTGAAGTTCACGCGCCTGCCCGCGCTCAGTGGGTTAACCCCACCCCGCAAATGGCAGCATCGAAGTAGCACCCGGATAATATTGCTGGTATCGTTTGTCCATACGTCTGACGATGGAGACGGGCGCCATAGCGAGTACGTCCAGTTCTCTTGTCAAACGTAGCTGTTCAGGACAAAAACATGTTTTTATTTCGTTTTAATCTATGCAGGATGTGCCGGAGATGAATAAATACCTTGGGCCGAGTTCTCGCTTCGGAGATGGGGACGGCTCCTTCTGGGATAGGTGGTTGACCACAACTGGCCATTTTACGGAACAGGGGAGCTACGCGAAGGCGGACATGCCAACTCGCAGCATGTACTCCACTGGAGTGGTAAGGAGCCCTAGATTGCTACCGCACTCATTTCTGCTTCATTTTCTCGGTCGCCGCAACCTTAGCTACCGTTGGCATTACACAGATCATATGACTGCAGTTTTCAGTCGGGCAGGCACGATGCTTTGAGGGTGACACCAACCGATACGCGTGCTTCAAAGCTCGTATTCGCCGAACGTGCAAAGAGGACGTGTGAGATACGGACTGTCCGAATTCGAGCAACATCGAAACCAACTGGACAACATGAAACTCGACGAACATTCCCGAAGACCACGTTTTTCTACACCTTTCTAACCTCCCAACCAATCTGCTCCTCGGAACTCTTGATACCCTTGTGTAGGTTCCGCCGCACAGCGGGTTCAAGAGGTATCAACTCGACAAGCTCGCCTTCACCAAACATCCCGAACCCAGGGTGCTCACGTACGCGGCCCGTAGGGAGCTGGGAGTCAGTATCAAGTCGGACGAAGCGCCGAAGCGCCTACGCGGCGCATATTCCGAGGTGTGGCCCTGACGAGGTTTGTCTTTTATACAACTATGGATGTGTTTCACCGACGGTCATCTGCGGGCAGAGAACAAAAGCTGAATTGTCTCGAGCAAACAGTGTTCCTAAGGTTTAGTTTGTGAGGAAGTGATGCGAAGGGAACCACTTCTCCAAGAATGGCGACTGCCACCTTTGTGAAAACATTATCCTACGAGTCTTCGCGCGATGTAACGTTTATGTGTCTTCGCTGCACCTCCCGCCCATCACACCATCAAGAACAGAGTACTCTTGGTCCAGATAGGCGAAATTGGCTAGATGAGGTTGTGCTGGCTAAGGCCGCGGAAGATTTCAAGTCCGAAACGAACAAAAAACTGGAGCGGCAGCAGTCCGCACAGCGTTCGTCAGATGAACACGAAAGACCGACTTCTGGGGATGAACATTCCTCTACCACATCGAGGTCACAGGATGTCGGCATCCGATCAGAAGGGACCAAACGCCCGGTGGTAGGGTTGAGATCGATTGGGGCGGCTGCAAAGGATGAAGGCCCGGGAAACAGGTGGGTGCGCTATCATTCATCCTCTCATGGCCTCGTTTTAGTTACCTTGGCCTTCGAGGAGTCTTACCCCGACTGTTTCACCTCAGGTAGAGTGGCAGGAGTAGCACGTGGCTAGGGTTGACAACCATTCGATCCAGTTTAACTTCGACATGTTTTTTTGTTTATACTGGTTTCAGTCGTGGAATATCGTTGCGCATGTCATATGAGTATACTTTTCTCATGTCGAGGATGATATCCAAACGGCTTGTCCCACAATACCTTTCGAGGAACTCGTCAGGGCTATCCTTTCTTCCCGTGTCCTCGCCCGCTGGACGTCTTGCGTGTAATTGAACGCAGCAACGGTGTGTATGGCGTTGTTTTCGCTTGTGTCAAGCGCCACGTAGCGGCTTGCCGGCCTGCTTTGTTCAGTAGGAAATATTTGTCTACTTGGCAATGAACGGTATTGTTGTGCTGACGGCTCTTGCACGCTCCAATCACACAGATCTGCGGATGGCGACACAGACAACGAGAAGCGGTGCGGACCGGGAGATGTGAGTACATTGCGATAGGTCGACACACGTCTAGATGGACACTGTGTTAAAGGCCAGCTACTGGTCGAGGTGGTTCAGCATATGATGTGGGCACGACGTGCGTGCCGATTTGTCCATAGAAGATGAACATTGGTGTCATGAGCTCTACTGAGGTGTTGATTTGCGTGTGGAGGTTGTTCATACAAAACAGGCGAACAACAATCCGAATGTATTTTTCTGGGCTCCAGTCACCACTTCCGCAGGACAGGGCTTCACGTTTAAGTTTCTATCGGCGGGCGCCCGACCGCATGGCTGCGAATGTGCGTTGTTGTCATTGAAACATCTTGCTGTCTCGCAAACTTCCCTCTTTCATCGGGGCCGAACGGAGTAACGGCTCGATCGTCTCGAACGCCCCTTCGTTACATCAATACATGCCAATACATGTCTAAACGAATAGGAATCGCGATTGATATCTCGCGATACTTCCTTGGAGGACGCGGTGGCCAAGTTCGGCCTTGTAAACCCCAACTACTTCGGCCAACGGGTGAGCTGCGTAACGTTATGATCATGTTTCAGGTTCGCACACGGTACCCTGTTGGCCTAGCGTATGGCGCCCGCACTGGGTTCGTTCAAAGACTTTATGTCAGTCCCTCCCACCAGATGAAAGAAATAATATCAAGCGAGTTGTCCTGAAGGGAATATCTGGGTTCGGTCGACGGGTTTCTAAGGTAGAACGAGCACAGAGGAAGGAAGCTGCATCGAAAATAGCGTCGGATTCGCGAGGAACAACCACCAAATTAACCCATGATGATATTTTTGGTGTTGTTGTCATCACAGTTAGGCAAGCAGGCAGGCAGCATGGCCGGCATGATTTGCACCGTCATCCGTTTCTGTGGCGAAACCGCAGGCGAGATCGCATGTGTACAACTACTACAAGCAAGTGTCACGGCGGAGGCACCAGTACGGAGATCTCCAAGCGATGTCCATGATTCCTCTCACCCCTTTGGACCACATGGGAGCACTCCCTGCCTACCAGGCCGGGCTTGATGCAATCAACACCGAGGACATGGAACAAGCCTTGCACGAGAAAGCCGCCCGAATAAACATATATGGAAATAGTGTCAAGTCGGAGAAGACCACACGACATCAGCTACCTCCGTTGGCCACAACGGCTGCGGCTGGTTGGCAGAGCGAGTCAGGAGACAGGGGGTCGGGCGTGGACGAGGGTGATGAACATGAACGTAAAATGGCGAAAGCTCTGGAGAACGACGACCGCCAAGTGAGGAACAGGTGGAAGCAGGAAGGATTGATTTAGCTGCTCCGAAACAACGGTGCTGATGTGGTTTGCAGAAGTGTTGCGGATCCAGAGGAAACGATTACAACAGAGTACTTTCCTTCAAGGACGCAATATTCGGCGTGTAGGTATGGCATTCAAAGCTTATGCTCACCGCTGCCTCTTGTTCGTATCTCTTTTCTTCTATTCCTCCCTGCGCTTGCAGATTACAAGCCGGACCAAGTATCTTGTGCGGTGCATGGAGCGAAACGTGGCCCCGAGAGCTCATGTTATCATTCGAAAGACGCACACCACCAAGGTACGTTATCACGGACATCCTCCAATTCAATTCTACCGCCTTCAAGTCGTTGATGTGTTTCTTCAAGGAGCGTATTCACCGTGGGATTCCGCAAGAACACCGGGGCTGAAAGCACCTGCTCACGACAAAGCCCCTCAGAGGCTAATGCCCAGAATTTCGTTCTGACTGGATGGATAGACTCTCAATGAGAAGTCTCGGGGTTGTTTGGATTCTCTTTTCACGTCAGCATCCGTGTTGACGCCACCGCCATGCCCCTCTTCCGTGCTGTTCAAGGCAAGCATACTACGTTTTGTGTTCACAAGCCGACGCGAACATCTTGAACGAAACACGAGAACCAAGGTACTGCCAGCTAAAAGATCGGTTTGTGCTGTGCAGGATACTACGACAATACACGGAATAGACGTCAATTTCTGAGGAGTTGGCTTGGTCTAACATGCTGTTGCGGACGCACATGTTGCGATTGTTGCCCCAGGTGAACTTGGCGCATCAGGGCATGGGAGACGTGATGGGCGGGATTTTGGCGGACTGCTTGATAGAACTTCCGCTGATGCGGGAGCTCAATCTCCGGGACAACAGGCTTACAGACAAAGGCCTCAGGCCTCTTGTAAAGGTGAAGACTACCGTTATTTCGCAAAGCGCGGGTGCCGGGTTTGAAGCCTTTGCAAATCCCCGCTCAGACTTTGGCAGTTTTCCTTTGCCTCCGATTGTTCGAAAAATAGTATCGCCTTCCCGGCTTTCGAGTTGTGTCGATGTGCGGAAGTTTTCGGTTTGTTTGTATCCAATGAAGAGCAATGGAGGAGCCGAAAGGACAATGCTGAGGTAACCGTGTTACCAGAGAACAAGAACAAGAGGAAGAAAGGACAGCTGGAGTTGGAGCCGCCGGGCTTCCCGATCCCCGAGTTTGGTGGCGGAAGCCAACGGAAGGTGGCCTGCATACAGCAGTAGTCCGTACAACAATCTCCCTCTCGATTTCGATTGTTTCACGGACCACACAGCATCCCAACACGCTATTCCCTGGACAGGCAATCAAACAACGCCATGATCTCTACGCGCTGGATCTGAGCGAGAACAAGCTCGATCGCTGGGTGAGAGAAGTTTTGTCGTCGTTGCCTCAGTGTTCACACCACGAAACGTACTATGAAGCCTTTTAGTTTCGGGGGAAACAATCGTGCGGAAGTTTGTTTGACCACCAGACGCCATCAGGGAATACTTTGTGACGGTACAACATAATGGCGCGTACAGCTCATTGATCAGTACGCCTCCACGGTGTAAGGTTCGCTGTGGTTCAGTCCACGATTTGTGATTGGCACTCTGGTCTCAATTGGCTTGGACACGCCGCTCTCCGGAGGTGGTGACCAGTGAGAAATGGAGGACATCATCTATTTGTTCGTTTCCTATGCCACAAACCATGTCGCTACTGCTGATGGCAAGTGTCTTTGGGATAGTACTCAGGCAATGCAAGGCGCTATGCTCCACACACTTGATTTCATCGTGACGAGTTTCCGGGATCGAACGGTGGCCGGCATTTTTCAGGCGGCGCGGGAGCTCGCGTTTTACTTCTCCGATTCCCGATGCACCTTGGCCAAATTTGTCCTCAGCAAAGCAGACGTCGATGACTTCGAGGTATGCTGGCATTTGATGTACCGGTTCAAAATATTGTGCTGCTGCTGATGCTGCTATCGGTATTGTTGCGACGGACCAGTTTAACGAAGATGCTACCGTTGGCGTTGTGCACGGCTATAACCTTATCCCTAAGTAGTCCGACATCTTCGTCAACGTCATTCGTCATCCATCCTACCAACACCCGAGAAAACCGTGCATTCCGTGCATTTGGTCGTGGATGTCCTTTACTTGGAAGGGGAAGACGTTTTATCTCTTGTATTAGACACGCAAGGGGAGTAGGGAGAAGTGAAGCCCTCTTTGGAGTTCGAGGGGTCCCCGCACATGTAACCATTTCAAGGTGTACATATGCCCCATCTGCGTGCCCTCTGTTGTTGCCGGTAGATCTAACCAGTCCGTATCCAAACACACGAACACCCTCCCCGGTTTGCACGCGAATGGCAAACCTAACGTGGGGCATAGATACCTCTGATCTACCAAAGGGACTCAAAAACAACAACAGGCTCGAGGGAAAACCCGGCCAACCGCATCAAAAACCCTCGTCTCACACCCTAAATATAGAAAACTGTCGCTATCACGGAGGATTCCAACGGCCACACTTCCAAGACAAGACCAAGGCAGGACAGATTGAACAGGTCACGCTGATTACACACCCAAAGCAACGCTCTCGGCGTTTCTAGGCTCCAGCCGCGGGTGACGCGCCGGCACAACGCTTCCTGCGTGACGTACCATGGTCATATATGCCAAGTGCTAAAACCACCACATAAACCAAACAGAACAAGAGAACACTACATCGGTAGGTTCATCAGAGCCTTCCGGTGGTAGTCTAACTTCTCTCTGCCGAAGACCTTGGTCAGCATGTTGGCGTGCTGCTCTCCAGTCGGAACATACTCTGCGGTGATCTTGCCCGACTTGAATAGCTCGCGAATGAAATGGAACCGCACGTCGATGTGCTTGCTCCTCGCTGAGCTGAACGGGTTCTCGATTAAGGCGAGAGCCCCCTTGTTGTCCTCAAGGACCTTGATCTTCGCCCCACTCGTCTCGGGCGCTATGAACGACAGAACGCCACGCACAAACAACGCCTCCTTCACGCCCTCCCCGGCTGCCATATACTCTGCTTCCGAGGTCGACTGAGCCGTCACTGGCTGCGTCTTGGTGGATGCACACACTACGGTACCACCTACGGTCACAGCTAGCCCGGTCGTAGAACGCCTGTCTACTTCGTTGTCAGCGTAGCTGGCATCGACAAACACGCTTAGGTCTAGTCCTGACCCCCGTACGTAGGTGATGCCGAAGTCCTTCGTGAAGTTCAGGTAGGACATGATCCGCACAAGCGTGTTCCAAATCCTCCCGGTGGGTGAGTGGGCGATCTTCTGGAGCTTGTTCAGAGGCAGGGCGATGTCTGGCCTCGTCAGCTTCGTCCACATCAGGCATCCGATCGCCTCCCTCACGGGCTTATCCACCGCGGGCTCGTCATCTCTCTTCGGCCCTAGGTCGGCATCGGTGGCAGCAGGGGTGAAAGCGGTCGTGGTCACATCAAACCGCTTCAGCATACTCTCAATGTATGCTGTCTGGGACAGCTTGGTGATGCCATTTTCTACATCCATGGCGATAGCACACCCGTCGTACCAGGTACACTCCCCCAGATCTTTCACCGGAAACTTCTTGTTGAGGGAAGCGAACTACTCCTCTCGCTCTCCCTCGTCTGCCGCCACTAAGATGTCATCAACGTAGATCACGATGAGACCTACGACCTCTCCATCCACCACCTTCCGGAAGACACACGGGTCAACCCTGCACTGCTCGTATCCATTCTCGATGAGGGCATCGGCAGCTTCAAACCCCCACTCACGGCCACTCTGCTTTAGGCCATACAGGGCACGCTCAACCTTGACCACCTTGCCGGACATGCTACCACAGCCTTCCGGGAACCTGAGGTATATTTCTTCTTTTAGCTTCGCGTGGATGTACGCTTGCTTCACATCCCAGTGAGCGAGTTTCTTGCCCTTTTCAGTGGCTACGGCAATCACCGTCTTGATAAACACTGCAGACGGGCACGCTGAGGATGAGTGGTGGAAGTCGATGCCGGGGATTTGAGAGAAACCCTGCGCAACCATACGGGCCTTGAAGTCGACTCAGGCACTTCTCATTCGTCTTCCAAGAGAACACCCACTTTGAACCTTTGCCCTTCAGCCCCTCGGGCAGCTCCTTGACCTTGGAAAAGGTTCCAGTCTTGTCGTGGCCATCTATCTCTTTCTCCATGGCCGCCTCCCAGAAAACCTTGTACTTGTAACATATCACATCCTTGTACGTCATCGGTACTGCTTCCACATCACTCGGCTTCCGCCCGATTGGCGAGGTCATACTTAGCTGTGGGTCTGGGAGTGGTTGCGAAGACCCGCTGGCGTCGACCTCGGCCCCGAACGCCTGCTGTTCCGG